TCAGTCACCTGCATTCTTCTTCACCAGAAGAAATCACTTGTGCTCTTAACACCTTTTGCTAGTCTGTGCTCCTTCCTTTAACAAGTTTCCCGCTTTATTTTTTTTTGGCTCAAGCTAATGAAGACAATAGGAAAGCAGCACTTGAATTACGCTTGTTACAGTAACCTGTAGACCATGGTAGGTGTAAAGGCAAACTAGTTTGGTTGTACGCTGTGATACGAGGCAATACTGACCTTGTTGGACCTCTCCTCCTGGAAACTTCCAGTGAGAATATCCAGCTTTGCAAGTTGGACCCTCTTCCCTAGAGTAACAGGCTTGTTACACAATGCAAGCTCTTTTCTCCAAACCAGGAACAGAGAATGATGTTACTTCCTGTGGTTGGCTCTGGGAGAACTACACAGTGACACCAAATCATAGCAGCAGAAACAAGAAACACTGAAGTTATTTACTAATATTTATTTTAAAAATGATTACAAAATATTTTAGAAAGTTCTTAAGACCAAAAAGGTATAATACATTAAAAAAGACCACAGGTTTAGAATGGAAAAATATTTAAGCATTTCAAAATTATTTAAATGGAAATTCAAGGCAACAATGGCAACAAAACTCTGTAAATTTTTAAATTTATTTATATAAAACTACTACTCTATTATCATCCCGATTTAATAGCCATTAAAAGTCACTGAAATTCTCGAAGGTATTAAAAGTGACAGATAGTTCTGAACAGCATAAAATTTAATATCTAGAGAACTGCTCATGTTTACAGCATAGATTACAACAAAGATGAATTTCCATCTTAAAGGCACTACTAGCATCTTGATTCGTTACAATTTTATATAACCTTTCAAAAATGTCACAAAGTATTTCCCTTCAGCGTAGAAAGCTTGGTATTTTTATTGCACCAATTTCAACAAGGATCACCGTGATGGCCATTATGCAAAAACATCTTGTGCAGAGCTCTGAGAACTGTGTGAGACAGATCACTGCTTGTTCAGATTGGAAGGTGCGAAGGTAGAACTCCATTCTAAGAGAACACAGCCCTTCCCTGCTATTTTTAAGCACAGAGTGCAGGCAATAAGGCACAATTCCTTCGCATACTTAGAACCAAAAGGGCACTGGCAGCTTTGTGGTTTTAATGTGGGCGAAAGGCCAAACACAACGATTAACATTGTCGCCCTACACAATGCATGTGCAGATTTTCAGAGCAGAAAGTCACAGTCCAGCCACTTAAAAACAAGTCCTCACATGTCTTGGAGAATTCTCTGCACTGATTCTCCAGGCACTGTAAACAAAGCCTGAAAGCGGGTGCAGAGCCTTTAAATATTTTTGGTCGGACTCAACTGGAGAAGACAAAAGCTTTTCATGTGCCTGAGCAGGCTCACAACACCACTGCCAAGCACTGTGGTAAAGAAGGGAGAAGACAATCCCCAGAGAGATGTAGTGGGCCAGCTGCTTCTTTCCAGAGGTTTTACTACTGGTTCAGATTGTACAGAGATGATTACTTTGCAAACAGAAGAAATTTGAGACAGTTGCTTGTAACAGCACTTCTACCAGAGCTCCCACCACTCTCCTGAACAATCCCTAATCCACTTCAGTCAAAACCAGCCACCTTCATGTAAGCAATTTAAATACGTGGTTTAAATAAATTAGGCTGATTTCATCAGAAGCGGGCTGGGAAACGAGCAGACCGCTTTGCTGACAGAGCACGGGGAGGGCAAGAGACGTAACAGCCACATGCACAAAGCTCCTGCAAAATCTGTTTAACCCAGCTCCAGAGCCATTCTCTGGGATCAGTCCAATTAAAAGACAAGACACTCAAAGCCTGGATCCAACTCCAGAAGCATCAAAGGGGGCATGTCCAGGCTGCAGGAGACCAGTCTGCTCGGCCACGGCAGCAAGAAAGTCTCTCCCCCAGGTAGCCTGTGAGGGCAGAGGAGCTTGGAGGAACACACGCCTGCCCCTTTGTCGCAGGGAGCTGACACAGCAGTTGAGGAAACCACCTTGCAGAAGCAGAGGACAGCACACACACTCGCAAACCTGCTTCTCAGCCATCTTAAAACAAAAAACACCTCACACTTACAAGTCTAGGATTAATAGTACCACCATGCAGAAACTGTTTTGTCAGCGAACAACTGGTTGGGAAGCAACAACTTAGCAATTGCCTTAAACCTATAACCAATATGTGGCTCCTCTGCTCCGAGTATTTAATTACTATGTGACAGATCAATGTCAGCTAGACAGTACCCGGGATTGAGCACTATATATTGTTATAAAGAACAGCAGGACTCTTCCTATTAGTAAACTCCTGCAATGTATGGGAAAACAACTAACTGGTTTCCCAAAGCCTGCTGTTTGTTGGTTTCGTTAGCTCGCAGCAACACTTGCATCCCTTTTGGTCAGAGATGGAATCTGATCCTCAAATCTATACATGGATCAGTCAGCTGGTGAGAGAACAGGTATAAACTGCCTACCTGGAACAGCTAAAGCAAAAACCATGCCAAAACCCCCTCTCTCCAACAACCCAAAACACGCCAGGGATGCCAGCATGTATGTAGTAGGAGAATTCATCAAACCATTCTGCAAAGGTTGGCAGTACTTGTTTCAAAAGGCCTACAGGTCAGACCGTGGGAGTGAGTCAGGAGATCTCAGAGCCACCTTCTTCTGACACCAACTCCTTGTGGCACCTTTTCATAAAAATAACTTGCTCTGCATTTCCATTTCTCTCTGCAGTGTCAACAGCAGATACCATAGCTAGGGCAGCCAAGGCAGAGAGATGACTTTACAGATCCCTTTCGGTACCAGTATCTCCAATTCAGGAAGGGACACCAATAACAAAGCACTTAGGTGAGGAAAAGTCTATAGAAAAAGCAACCAAAACCCAGAACTCTCTCAATTTATTCTCAAGTTGAGAAAAATTACCTCAAGATAGAAGTGTTGTTATGGTGCTGCATTGCTTAATAAATATCAGCAGCACAGTGTTACTCTTACACTGTATTTACAACTTTTAATTATATATCAAGATTTAGAGACTACCTTTTGATGCGAAAACAAATTCAGTAGAATGCTGGGCAATAAAAAAAACCAACAAACAAACCTTTAGAATGTTAATCATAGACACGGACACAATCCCCACAGTAAGACATTGCAAATCATGGCAGAGATTTTTCTTTATGGGAAGTTTCATATCACCAGCAACGCTGCTTGTAAACAAAACATGTCTAATCTACCCAGTTTTCAGAGACAGCTACAGCAAGCTCTGTACAACTAGACTGAGATCAGGTTTTAGTGCAAATGGACACTAATAAATACAAGGGGAAAAAAAAAAAAAGCCAGTCCAAAGAACATTTCTTTTTGACAAAGCAGGAAATGCTATGAAGGAAAGTATGTCTTTTATGCAAAGCTCTGAAACCAAGCTACAGCTTAGACTTGACACTTCACACGACTTGTCAAAATTTTACATCCTCCAAGCAAAGTGTAGTGTTAGGCTTAAATCTGAGAGCTTAGAGAGAGGACTTCACAAACTCCCATTCATCAGAAACTGGCAGCACTGGAAAAAACCTCTGACCTTCTTTTACAGTCCTCTGTCTTACAACAGCTTCCTCATCCTTTTCCAAATACAGCTTGCTCAGCCAGTCTGGAGGGCTTGGTCTCAATGCTGCCACAACAGGTTACAGGACTATAAATTTGTCCGCCTAGGGTATTGATGAAATGGAGTTAATGCCTGGAAGACACGGCAAATGTCAAGAGCACTCAAACAAGAATTGTTTTTGCATAATCAGCTTTTTCTCATCTTCTTTGGTATTTTGGAACATCTCCTAGCTTACAGTAATTTGCTCTACTTTTGAAGGCTTTCCTCTTAAGTGAGGTCTAACAGCTTTGCTTTGACGTCAGACATCTGAAAAATGCCTTTTCATCACTTCATTTCTTTTACAGCCATCAACATCTGGTCTGGTATGTCCATCACTTGTCTGATACATGTTGCATCAGTAGTGTTTCTTGCAGTCCTACAGCCTGTCACTGTTAAGACAATTCAAGGGTCCAAGTGCTTATTTCTCTGTTTACCAACTGACATAGTCAGTGCCAAGAAGTCTCAAGCTAGTGCCATATTTATAGACAAAGAAAATGGTGGGGTCCATAACCATTCTGGCAAGACTTACCATTTACTGTGCATAAACAAGCTGCATGTGGTATTAACATGGCCAGTAACATTCACCAGCATAGTGCCAACGTGCTGTAACGTTTTTCCCATTGATGTTCAGGTTGCTACTTTTGGGGTTACTTCATGAAAATATTTACTCTTCATCTTTTTCCTCTCATGGCTGGCTTCTCAAGTTTCTTCCTGTAACTTTTATAGATTTTGAAACAATCTGAAAGAGGATTCTGCCATACAAGTCCAGACTTTGACAATTGTGGGGCGCAAAACTGTCTCTTTAATATACCATTATTTTACCATCGCCATAAAACCCCTACACTCACTATTCCATTAAAATAATCTCTGCAGACAGAACTGAGACACACGAATAGTAAAACCAAAAACCCTTAGGTAAGGATAAGCATTTCTATAAGGCTCCAGTTAGGTATCCCTTTTACATTCATAGTTTGACCAGTAAGTATGAAAATGAATTCTGCTGGACTAATTTGTAATTTGTAACAGAAATATCTGGTCCATTTATACAGAAAATATCTTTAGGGTATAGCTCAGAATTTATGCATCACACATTAACCTGTATTAGTCACCTCTGTTTGGCCTTAAGTTACTCTATTTAGACACGAGGGTTTTTTTAGTGTATGCCACCTGGACAGGTGGCAGGACCAGTTACAGTTACCTTAGAACATGATGCTCAAGATGCCATTACTTGACCTAAGGATCTATAAAAATGTGTGATGAGCAATGCATACAAAGTTGATTAGAATGAAGAGACAGAAGTTGTTACCTACAGTGCACTGAAAGTTCATTTTAGTTTGCTCTGTTCAAAAAAAAAAGAAAGAATTCCAGAAAGTTAGCTTTGTTTATTCAATGGCTGATGTTCTGTAGCACCTTGAGTGTTGCCAGAATTTTCAGAGCGTCCATCGACATTTTGTTTTCGACTGTGAAAATGCTCTATACTAATTTCAGCTAAAAATGCACCACTTGCAAGAAATCCAAACACCTGTGAAAGTGAAAGGGATATCTGATTTGTAACTGTACAAACATCAACAGTATTCTAACATTGTTTGGAGAGATCTGCTGGACTATACACATATGTTAATAACGCTTATATATTAAGATTACAGTCCTCCTTAAATCGGTAGTTCCATTTAAATTAGAAATGGATCAGAAATCATAATTCTAGCACATTTAATGCAAAAGTTTTTACAGTTCTCATTCTCTTAATCAAGTGTGAACCTTATAATATGTTCTAAACAGCCCTTAATAGTAAAAGTCTATTAATTTTATTGCAAAAACTAGTTATTAAAGAAGCATGGCATTGGTGGTATAGCAGAGTGTTTATCTAAGACATGGCTGTGATTAAAGGGAGTAAGGGAAGAAGACTAAAACATGGAAGGTGAAGGCAGGCAAGATCTGCAGAGCCTAAGCAAGTCCTTACTGGGTCAGCAAGGGGCGATGAAATGACATTTTGTTAATGACATTTCATTATTAGTCATGGCAAGATAGAGGTCAGGAGAAGGTTGTTTTTAGCAGCTTCCTTCAAACAAGGAAAGAAACACATGCATTATTCTATCTTCTACCAGGTTTTACACAACTGGTTTGCCCCAAAGCAATTTGACACTATTAAGTCTTGAATCACAATAGTTTTTGTTTTTCCAGCTCCAGAAAAAAAGCCTGAAGGACTTTGTACTCAAAAGGTCTGTATATATCAACATCACGGAAGGTGACTATACAGAAGTGTGTATCTCTGATAGCTCATGCTGCCTGTGGAACACAATTATTTTGCTTTCTTCTCTAACTCATTTTTTCTCATTCAAGAATAAAATCAAAATTTAATCTTTCAAACTCACAAATTCACAATTCCAAGGCTATTCAAAAGAAGTGCCAAATGAGTGAGGAATTATGACATCCACAGCACCCCAAAGCCTCTTCCGTGTCTTGCCCGGAGCCTCTTCAGCATTCCCAGGGAGATGCATGCCCTGCTGCTCTTCTGTCTCTGTCACTGAGGAAACTGCTCCTCTTATTGCAGTCTTTGCAAGTCAGCATTTGCCACCTATGCTTTATAATGCCTGGCAAAAGACATGGTTTCTTGCTGACTTTGTGAGGGGGTGGCATTATGAAAGGACAATTGAGGAAAAAAAGTAGGTATCTCAGAGATTAAGATAGCGGAGAACTGGGGAAGCTGTGAGAGACAGCAACATCAAAACAGTGACAGATGACGGAATAATAAGTAGCCAAGGCAGTGAAGTCCGAGGAACCCAGAAGCAAGCCACAAACGCTGGGGAGCTGCAAGTGCACGCAGAGCCTCCCAGCAATGCTGAGGAATGCCTGCTCTTTGGAGTTCCTACAGTAACTTTCTGGAAGGTGTGATATAGCTTACTCCTCCTGAAACACTGCAATGCCCTGAATTCTGTTCCCCGCCCAGTTTCTTCCCTGCTAATTGAGTGAGGTTTAGAGGGCAGAGAAATTAACGTACAAGATAAACACAAAGTAAATTATGTGATTTTAAGACTTACACATGCAGCTGTTTCAACAGCAGACCCAGAGCTAGTTGCAGCAAACACTATTGATGCTATCAGAAAACAGACACCTATGGCTGTCATGGCCCAAAAATTCTGCAAATATATAAAAAAATAATGTTATAAAATTGTAGACATACTACCTGAAGAAGAACAATCATCATAACAGCAGCTGAGTTAATCTGCCAGTGAATTTACGCTTTGAAACTCTGATGCTAACAGGAGCTTCAGAGAATATATTTTACAGCTATATTCCAAACAACTTTCAACATTATGAACTATTTAAAAGACTCTGCATTACACACTCCCCTGTTTTTGTTGTCTTCAATTATTTCATTCATTTCTTCTAACTTCTTTCACAATAAAATTCAGGCTCAGGTCAACCATGTTAGCATTATCCCCTACGTACAACACCTGGGAAACCAGAAACCTGTAAGTAAACGTGCTCATTCAAATCTCTTACTACACTCCCTTATCTGCACCTTCATGGAGAAACCCTACTGTTTGCTCTGAAGACCAACAGGAAGGGACACTCACAAGACACTGTAATATTCTTACTGACTTTACAGAGCAACTTTGTGCTACTGCTTTATCGTCTGAAATATAAAATCATGAATTGTAACAAGTATGATTATTACCAAAAACGACTTAGGCTACACCCACTAGGAAAACAGACAGGGTAAACAGGCAAGTTACAAGGATCACGCTGGCAGTAAACTGCGTTCCATACATGTACACATATGCAATGACTACGCAGTAGTAGTATTCTGTGTGAGAGAGTTTCACTCAAGTCCTGAAATCCTGCAGGTAACCAACACAACAATTTGGGAAAGGCTGTCAATATAAAAAGAACTCTCAAAGTTAACTCATTTTTTAACTATAAGCTACTTTCATCTGCCCATTCAATAGAGACGAAAAGGAGACTCATTCTGCGTAGCCTTTTTACTCTATGGTAGTCTTTAAGCACTCACAAGAAATGGTTTGTTTTAAAAAAAAAAAATTTCCTTACCACTCTCTTGATTTTATCTTCCCCAAACGTTTCATATACATCAGTGCAATACACACACAGGATCAGGAGGCTCATAAGGCAGGCACTGCAGCTTGTGAATTCAAAGAAGTAAAGTCCGCCACACTTCATACAATCCTCCACAATTTCTTCACAAATAACAGCCAGAAGAGAGAGAATCTGCAAACAAATAACATGCAGAGTTGGATCGAGTCTCCAATATCTTCAGCAAATAGATGTCTCTGATATGAGCATTAATAAAGACAGCTGTAAGGAAAATCCTCAATCTACAAGGAACCCGGTAAAATTCTGCACTATTTTCTTACAGGCAGGAATAATTACCTAGTGCCACGGTTTACACTTGCTGTTAAAGTTGGTCAATAAACTACACTCAGGTAAGCTGAGCACACACCGCCAAACACCAGCTTCTGGATTAGACAGTCAAGATTCCCGATTTGCGGGTTTGTGCAATTGCCAGCTGGAAGCAGACGAGGCAGGCAGCGTGGCGAGCACACATCCTGCTCAGAACAAGCAGAAACGCTATTGTTTACTACTTCCAACTGCACCTGATTTTAAATGCATTTGGGCTCAGGACAGACAGGGAAATTGGATGGCATTGACAGTGTCAGCTGCCTGCCTCAAAGCTGACAGCTGGCATTAGCTCCCTTGACAAACTTCATAGAAAGTACATGTGGCTCGCAGCTCACATGCTCGTGACCCAGGAACGACAGAAGTTCATCTGTACTTGTAGGAACCAAAACTTTAAACTATGTTTAAGCTATGCTGGACAGTGTTTAATCTATGCAGCAGCTTAAGTTCACCATCCTGCCACCGTATGTTTTGAGGAAAGAACATGAGTCCATTCCTGGACAGTCACCATACATCTGCTGCTGGATTTTCTACTATTTTATTGTACAGGAAAGAATATTCCTTTATTTAAATGTTCCCTCATTTTGGCCACTTTTTGCTGGTTTCCTTCATTCCATAAAGTTGACATAGGATTATAGATCCTTGTAGTAAGGAGTTTACCAAATTAAAACAAAACCATTAGCAGGAATCAGACTTGGTCATAAAACTGAGACTGACATAAGGACGATGATCCTATTTTTAGTCAGAGTATATGGGCAATAATAATATGGCTGACAGTTTTTCTTAAAAAAAAAAAATCTAATTCTAAAATTCATAATTGTTCTTGGAAAATAACCACCAGACTTGATTTCAGTTTGCTAACAGTAAAAATAAGAACAACAATTTAGCACGTGGGAACTGTAAATTCCCCTTGCTGAGCCAGACCTCAGAAGGATGCTTCAAAGCATCATGTTTTGAAAACACTGCAATCGTATAAAGTAAACAGGATCTCAGAAAGGGAAAGAACCCAAGCTGGGAAACTGCAGTATTGCTATCAGGCCTCCACATACTTCCCTTTTCTCCCACAGCGCCTGGCAAGGCAAACTTCTCAGCAGCCTTTGCACCTAAAACAGTAGCTACGAGGGCTGTGCGAGGAATGTCTGAATTGCCAATTTTTCAGTATTTTTTTGCATTTCAAAAGATTTGCTTACAGCTGTGCCCAGTGACTTTCAATTTCACATTTTTCACAAGGCCAGCTGAGATATGTTTTCACGTATAGTTGTAGCTCTGTATCAGCACTGAAAACTGAATGCCATCACTTTCACCTGGGATGAAACAGAACAGAGAGAAAATAAACCTGCCCTTAAAAGAATTTATAAGCCCAGATAACCATAGTGTGATTTAAATAACTGAGAAAATGCCTCTGCTGAGTGCACAAACAAGTACGAAAAAAATCCCAAAGAGTAGCTACAAAGGGTTCAGTGTCAAATAAATGAGATTTACCAAGTGGAGTCCTATGTGGGACTTGCCCAAGTCAATATTCCATTTTCTATTAATAAGATGAATAACAGAGTACATCATTAAAAAAGCTTTGGCTTGAAGAACTTTGATTAAAGTAGTGTATCAACAGCACATTTATAAGCTGCCAGAGACTTCTGCTTGGGTTTCTTAACTTGCTTCTTGACATCACTATTAGAAACAAAAGGGATTACTCTGTTGTCCTACTAGAAAAAAAGAAGTTTTAAATACCACAAAAAGAGTACTTCCTGACTTCAGTTTATGTAATTACAGCTATGTAACATAGCAAGAAGTTTTTTCTGGTATTAGCCAGATTATTTTCTCTATCATTAATCTGCATTTTCATAACATCCCACTACTACAGTATAAATACGTAAGCTGCTTTAAACAAGCCGGGAGATCCCACGTTTCGTTCAGTCTCCCAAGAACTGTTCTGCCAGAGATCCACCTTCATCCGTCAGCGTTCGTCCTGGGACAAGCGCAGACCTCTGCAGGCTTACAGGAAGCAGCCGGAGCTGTTTTGTTTTCATCTCTGCCTTCTCCCCACCGATCCCGTGGAGAAGCCCTTAGCTGATGCCCAGAATATCACTACTGCTTCTGTCTGAGCCGCCAGTTATGAGTGCAGAGGAGCAGCTCTGAAGTTCCTCGTTTGCTTGAGAGCTAAACCTTCCAGCAAGGTTTTCTTTCACCCTGAAGCCCAAGGTAACACCTGAAGAAAAGAGTAGGCAGCCGCCGCCGCCTTCCCTCCCTCTCGCCAGGAGCCCTGCACAGCTGCAGACACGGAGCCAGCACTGGTGGGCAGCAAGAGGTGGCCCGGCGAGTGGGTCAGGGCATGGCTGAGAGCACACAGGGGCTGCAGAGAGGCACATGGGGACATGGACAGGCTGACACCAGGCCCCCTGCTTCCCGCAGGAGAATCCACACCTCGCCACAGGCACGCACTGCTTGCTTTCCTGTGTGCTGTAAAGGGAAAAGCACCGTTGGAGACACAGTTTTTAACTTGTCCTTTTTGAGTCTCACCTGTCACAGAATCATAGAATGCTTTGGGTTCTAAGAGACCTTTAGGGATCATCTAGCCAAACCCTCCTGCAGTGAGCAGAGACATCTTCAACTAGACCAGGTTGCTCAGAGCCCCGTCCATCCTGGCCTTGACTGTTTCCAGAGATGGGGCCTCCACTACCTCTCTACCTCTGTCCATATGTACACCAGAAATGAAACATCTCCATCTGTTCCTTACCAGCAAGAAGTTACTCAATGACACTGACATTACTGGTGGAAGTTTCTACACATGTGTAGAATTAATAAGTGAATAAGTGAAAGGCTACAAAAGAACGCTACAGAAATAAAGCAGATTGATCAACTCTCTAACAGGCCTGTGAAAATGCTCAGCAGTGGTATTCCCAGTATAAAATCTTCTAGTTCAGATGGGTGCACATATTAATGCTGTAAGTCTCCACAATCAGGGCTGCTATAGCAAGTGAACAGCTCAGAAAAACTGCAAATATTAAAGACTGAATTACAATTTTCTTTTCCAGTTAGGGCATTTTGGTTAAAGTCAAACCAAGTATTTCTGCTTTAGATAAGAATTTCTACCTCAATCTTGGCACAATATGCGCTGTGTCATTTACCTTTGCACAGAATCTGAACCAACCATGGACTAACAAAACATTCCACCTATGCAATAAAACACCCCACGATCTAGAAACCCATGCAATTGGCATGCCTCCCAGCATCCTTTTGGCAGTTACATTTTCCTCATTTCATTTGCCCCAAAAGCTTTAAAAAACAGGCTAAGATTACAATATATGCCATTACTAATCACCAGAAAAGGATATCTAAGGTCTAGAAACCAGTTTTCTGCAGATGATTTCACAGTATTTTGTAAAACACTTGATCACTTCTATAATGAAGACAGGTAATTTTCTGAGTGCAGTATCCTGTCGGGCAGTCAGTCCACACGAGTGACTATCAGTGCGTGATCCCAGTAACCACCACTACTGTAACACAAAGGCCAACAGATCTTAACGACCATCACTGGCATTTCAAAAAATCAACTTTCCCAAAACAGGAGCATTTTTCTTACTGCAGATTCTGAGGCTGCCACCTTGAGTAATTTCTGGGGCTTGTTTAAACTGTTTTGAAGAACTCCAAGATACGTTCATCTTGGTAAAGGGAAACAAAAACGGTGGAAAAACCTGTTGGAAATTAGGAGGGTGAATGACTGTAACTCCATTTTCTTTTTCCTCTTGTTGAAGGATGGGTACAGGCCATAAACTCCTAATGCTTTAGGAGTGTATCAAGCAGCTACCCATCCTATTTAGGATAATCATAATTTTCCTTTTTCCTACCCAAAAAGCTTTTTAAATATTGCCTAATGTTTGGGTAAACAGTTTAAGACTTTGGTACACCAGTAAATTTGCATATGTAATAGTTTATTTTAGCCAGTGAGAGTACTTCTATAAATGATCTGCTTGTCTGAGAGCAACAGCCAGCAGATCTTACTTTATTAATCTCCAGTAGATGAAGTAAAAGTTTATGTCCTGTTATATTTATTTATTTAAAGCATTTAAAGCACTCTTGAGTGCAATCTTTTTTTTTTAAATACCCTTAGAAAACATTAACTTTGGCAGCACTGCCATTACTTTTACCCAAGAATCTTTTGTTTATGGTTGAGGGTTTTTTTGGCTGTGTGTGAGACAAAGTTTAAAAACCGCAAGTCCTCTTTTCTGCAACGGTGAAGTAACAAGAAAGGGTTGGAAATCACCTACAGTTCCCGCGAGCATGAGACATCCAACCAAGAAGCCACTGTGTAGGCTGGGAAATGTACCCCGACACAGACTTACAGTCAGCTGCCCCTTCCCGCGGGTGGTTTCACCACCTCCCTGCCAGCACTCAGGAACTATGCCCCTCGCGTCCTTCTCAGCATGGTCGCTCTGGCACATTTCGGAAGA